ACTTGTTCATGCTTTTATAATGTCGTGACTTGTTGATGAAGTTATGGATGGGAACGAGCAATTTTTATGGCCCGGCCAAAGCATTTGCTGCTTAGGGAAAATTATTTTCTTCCTTCGAAAAGGGTATAACATGACCACTGCTCTGTGAAAGCTGTTGTGAGCCGATGAATCGTTTTTGATGTTCCAGTTTTTTGTACTGAGAGGCCAACGTTTATTTGCTCTTTAGTATCTTATGAATCTCATCAGCCTTGCCTATGGTAACTTGAAGCCATAGTGAAAGCTTGCAATGTGGCCACGAATAAAGCCGTGGACTCTAGCTCAGTGGGAAGCTCAGATTTTAAGCTTGCCCCACGATTTGACACACCGGACGAGGGAGACGGTTTAATGCCGTGGTTTTTACTACTATGGAGGCTTAGTTAGCATTCAGGCTGGTTGGTTTTCACTCAACTTGGGTGATCTTCTACCCCTCAAAATGCATCTCGGACAGCAAAGAAGCGTGCACGTGCAGCGCTTCTTATTTCTCTCTACTTCTCTTTCTCTCAGCAAGCATGAGCTCCGAGAGATGTATGCGCGCACGAAGTACTGAACGCGTTTATGCGGCAAGTGGAAATATTTTATTATACTAATAATCCATCTCGCCAGCTGCTACAACTAGCCGCTTCTTATGCGATTAGCAGCCAGCCTACTTGAATAACATTAAGAAGGAAATGTTCTCCAGCTTCGTGACGTATTGTAACAAGCAGGCACACAAAACATTTTAAATGCCGAAGAACCATTGGCAAACAGTATGCCGTATCGAAAATTGCTTATTCTCTTGTTTTTACGTGGTGGAACAGAAGTGGGCATTGCGCGATGGATCATTTTTGCGCCATTTGTTGCCTCGTGTAACAAGCATGTGCTGTGTGCACGAAAACAACTGTTCCCACCAATCATATACAGCTAACGATCATTTCGAAAGGAAGCAACGAGGGATATTTTAACGTTACATTCACCCCCATTTTGTTCATTCAAAGAAAAGTTTTATTTACAACGTTTGTGTTGGCGTATTCATGCAGTTGCCTGGAACCCCTTATATAAATGTTGGTAATGCAGATACAATCAGTGTAAACAATGTACTATGCGCATAACACGACAAATTATACATTTTTACTGAAAAGTATTGAGAAGTTGATAATAACAGTAATATAAAGCAATAATATTAATAAATACAAGTTGCAGAAAAAGTGCTAGGACTATTAACAAACCAGGCAATTTCTAATACACACACGCCTCAATACATGCAAGAAATTGTAATACTTATTATGAAAAAAATATGGCAGCAATCATTCCTTGAAAAAAACATGATTGATTCCTCCTTCATAGGAATCAATACACAGCACGAAAGTAAAATGTGCCTCAGCAAAGGAAAATAAATGTTTACTGTAGATTCATACAGGAGGTTTTCCCGAATGTATGTTTTGGTGTCTGGCAGCTATCGCCCCATTAATGTGGGTGTATCCTCGTTGAGGTTTCGTTCTTCTACATCCTAACGACTGACATTCATGATATATTCATTAAACCCACCATTGTGGTATCTGTAGATGCTAACCAGGGAGGATTAAAAAATTGCTGGAGTGGAAGTGATTGCGCAGCAGTGAAGCCGTTTCTCTGGCAAGAAGGCTGCTGTGGCAGCCATCTTACTAGAGACATGGTAAAGTATCACTGTTCAACGATTAAAAAGGAAGTGTTTCCCTCGCACGCCCAAAGAATTTAATGTGGGAAATTTTGTGCGTCTTAGAGTTACTAGTTTTCCTTAGTGAGCTTCCAATTAGAGGCAAAGTTCTTTGAAGATTCAGTCATTCATACTCGTTTCTGTGTGTTATTTCGTTGGGATTAACTATCTTTCAACGTAGAACTAACGTAGCATTTAGATAACATATCAAATCACTTGATCTTTTAGTGGGCACTATCAGAAAGGAGCATGTTTCCGCCATCTTGGCAGCGGCAAAAGTTGGCTTCACTTCTGCTGGCAAAGCATTGCGGGAGCTTCCACTCCAGCCATTTTTCTTTAATCCTCTTTGATGGTAACCGCCAAAGCATAAACAGAGAAAAAGGCATGATAGCAAGATGAGCATCGCTTATTGGACGCATAAATTGGACTAAGGGCTCCATTCCTCGGTTTATGAAAGTGTGATTGAACTTCGTCGCACCTAAGTAAGCGCGTCGTGTCAGCTCTGTTGCCCCAACCGCGATGTTTCATGGGGCACACGTAAGCGAGCAACGCGCTATTATACATCCACGCGATTCAGGCGCGTGTCGCAGGGTGTTTAAGAGATTTTTATTTCCGGATATATCTTACATTGCTTATGTGCACACAGAAAAATGGACAATGGTGATCAATGCGTATGTACAATGCAAGCTGTTATATACAGCGAAAAGAACTTATTTGCGTATGCAGTGATGTATAATGCAAAAATTGTACAACAAAGACAGGACATTCATGACCATTGAGACTACTACACTTATTTTAGGGGTGAAGCTCCTTAAAGCGGCACCGGCTCGTCCCTCGTAGTAGTGCGTAACATGTCTTAGGCTTTGACCTGCAAGGTGGTGCATGTGGGAGATCCTCCTGTGCGTTGTTGAACAATGAAAAATTCACAGCGTGTGCGTAAACTAAAAGCCGAATTCTCCGGTCTCTCATTCCCCATTAGCAGCCATTGACATGTGCATCGAGCACTATCTGACAAGAAAAAATTGCTACGTTATACTCGCTGGGCGTGACCTCCTTGGTTTTAGAAAGGTTTAGCGAGCGTTGGGCCGCAGCGCCATGAATACAGTGAACGTGTATATACCATGAACTCGAGGTGGTTAAAGGTGGGAAGTAGACCCGAAGCGCAAGCCGTAAGAAGGTGTGCGTGTGCCACCTCTTGTTTAGTCCTTGGAATGTCCACTGAATGGCGGTGCTTCTATATGGGGAATATAGGATAAAAAGATGCGAGATGGTGGAACTTGGAGTGTTGAATAGATGGACAAACGGACACACAGACAGATGCATGGATGGACGCATGAACGGACGCAGGGGCAGATGCATGAACGAACGCAGGGACGGGCGCACGAACAGACGCATGGACGGTCACACAGACGGACGCATGGACGGATGAATGCTTCGCCCCACTCTCCATCATTCACTCCGTGGATATGCTGCAAACTTTTTCAAATGCGAAACATTTCTTAGCGAACTTCGGCGACTTTGAGCGTGTCTATCCATCTATCTACCCGCCTGTGACCTTTAGCCCTCCTGGCCGTTTCGATAATGGTATAGACACCAAACTTGGTACGGTATAACATGACTGTATGAAGAATATATTTAACTAGTCATAACATGAAAATCGTGACATGCGTGCCATGTAACAACATGACTACCTGTCACGCTCATGATGCGCTATCGGCTGTTTCGCTGGTGTCACATATACCAATTTTGCTATTACAGTACGTGAATGGATGACGAAGGTATGTGACTGGTGCAAACATGATAATCATGAGGTGCGTGTCATGTAACAACAAGACTACATGCCATGCTCATTATGCGCTGGCGGCCGTTTCGCTAGCTTCACCTACAACAAATTTGGTATTACGGGACGTGAATGATTGACGAAGGTATTATACTGGTGCAAACATGATAAACATGAGATGCGTGTCATGTAACATCAGGCCTACATGTTACGCTCATCATGAACTCGCAGCCGTTTCACTAGCTTCACATGTGTCAAACTTGATATTATGTGACGCGAATGGACGACATAGGTAAATGACACATCCAAACATGATAATCAAGACATGCGTGTCATGTGACTACATGGCAACAAGCCACACTGATGATGCTCTTGCGGCAGTTTCGCTAGCTTCACATATGCCAAATTAGGTATTACGTCATGCCAACGGATGATGAAGGTATGTGATCGATGACAACATAATAATCACGAGATGCGTGTCATGTGATAACATGACTACATGCCACAGTTAAAGCACCAATGCATTTTGACGCGACGTGTTGCGCGTGCTCGCCGGCGTTCATTTCGTCGCGTCACGCCACCGTTGCCACGCGAGACGACGGTCCTGCCATATGCTAGAAGACGCGCGCCGCACTGCGTTGCTTTGACGCATGCGCGTTTCAGCACGTCCGGCATCCCTCCGTCACGAAAAGAGGTAGACGCAGTGTTGTCTGGGTAACCCATGGGTGCGAAATGCAGCATGTCGCATCTCGCACCGGTTGCCGTTGGGCCGTGCCAAAGGTCGCGCCTGGCGTCATAGTACAGAGTGCTCACGTTTTGCTAACATAGCGTTGCTGTGCCCAGCGTGCGCTGCGTCAACGCCACAATGGCGTATATTGGGCCCTTCATGATGCGCTCGCAGCCGTTTTGCTTGCTTCACATATCAAAAATTTGGTGTTACGTGATCTCGAAGAATGACGATATATATGACTGCTGCAAACATGATAATCCAAATACGCGTGTCATATAAGAACATGACAAATACCACGCTCATAGCGTGCTCACGGCCGTTTGGCTAGCTCAACGTATACGAAATTGGGTATCACGTGACGTGAATAGATGACGAAGGTAAGCGACGCATCCAAACATTACGACAGCGAAGCATCCAAAAGATCATGACACAAAAGTCATGTACGACATCATTTACCTCCCCCTCGTATCGTTGTGCTGATCTTAAAGCAACATATCAGCACTTCTCATTCATGCTTCGCATATCAGCGATTCCGACTGTACGTGGGATCTGCTGCCAATTTTTTATTGCTCAACAATGTACAGGAGAAATCTCCCACCAGCACCATGTGCTGGTCAAAGCGTAAGACATGTTACGCACTACTACGAAGGACGAATGGGTGCCGCTTCAAGGAGCTTCGCCCCTTAAAAGGTCGAAACCTACAAAAAACTTCTGCATAAACTTGGCCAAGTTTTCTGGCTATTTTTTAGCACCCCGGAGTGTGGGCTGGCCGTTTTTCATCGCTGAGCTACTTCGTCAGCTACTCGCATCAATCTTTCGCATTTGACTAAAGATTGCCGTGGGGAAGGACACCCAAATGAGCCGATATACCAATTTTCGGGAGGCCTAGCCCGTTTCAGTCAGGCCTACTGTAATAGTCAAAAGTAAGACTATAGTATTTTATCTGTTGTGATAAACTCACCGCCATGGTTTCATGCCGTGACCCCAACGTGCTGAACCCAGTGTTACAGAAGGTTAGCGTGATCATGGTTCGCTACCTTACCGAACGGATTGAACCGCAGAGTGAAGAAACCTTCATCAAAAGATAGTATACACGTTTTTTTTTGGGGGGGGGGGTGGGGGGGAGGGAGTTTAGAATGGGAATATTTAATTTTTTTTACTGTCGTTTTAATTCGGAGAAAAATTAATTGCTTCTCGTCGCACATAATATATGTGAATGTGTTCAAACGTAAGGCTTTTTGCGTTTCCTTTTCTCTTTATTTTCTTGAGTCGCTCGTGTTTTGTGAGAATACTGAAGTGCTGTGTGTTAAATTGTGTCTAAGTTCCCTTGTTTGTACACGCCACTGAAGTGATTTTGTTACACCAGACAGTTGTACTCAGCTGTAATGTCGTTATCAGTTTGCAATAAACTTCCCCTTCCTATCACTCACACGTTTATTCAGAGTAAGAGAGGGACAGCTCAAGTTGCCAGTTGTTCCGTACTAGCCATGCGCCGGCTCTAGTACGCATGCTTACGTTTTATTCTGTAAAATGTGATTAACTTGATTCATTTTAATTTTTTTTTAACTTGTAACATATGGATACCCAGTGATCAATAAGACTTTCGTGCTCATTTGTACGAAGTATACCTTGTCTTTACTTGTTTATAATGTTTCGTGTGTGCAGGTACAAGTGTACAATAAACTTCCCTTTCTCAATTTTTTGCCTTTTACTGAAGATCAATTGCCGTAGGGAAGGACACCCAAATGAGCCTATAGGCAATTTTGGGAGGCCTTGCCCGTTTTGGAAGACGAAGAAGTGTGTTTTGAATAGGAGCTGCTTCTGCTAACTCCGGCGTATTTCAGTTGTAATTTAAGTCTGTTGATCAGTTTCCGCTGCTCCCTTGGAGGGGATGGAAGTAGACCACCCCGGGCGCCTGCCGGCACCAGCGGCGTCAGCGGCGACCGCCTCCAGGAAGCGGATGGGACAAGCGAGCGACAGCGACAGTGAAGATACTCATGCTTACTATCTCAGCAGTGAGGACTTCTCAGATGACGGTTTCCAACCTGTGCTGAGCCACAAGGCGAAGAGAAGGAACATGAGGACATCCTCATCCTCAACTATTCAAACTTTAAGTGAAGCGCCAAAATCGAACGCTTATACCATCCTGTTTCTGCCTGCACTTTCTACCATCAGCATGAAACGCCTTAACAGACAGTCTGTGTCGAGGTCTCTGGAAACGCTCGTGCCAAATGAGATCACGGACATAAGAGTGAACGCCAGAAAGAATATACTGGCTGTGGACGTTTTGCACGCAAGTGCGTTGGGCGTTCTGCGCAGTGTAACTGACTTGGACGGCAACCAGGTGCGCTCTCATGTTCCCTTGGGATGTGATGTAGTAACCAGCGTGATCTACGACATTGATGTCGCTATTTCCAATAAGGACTTACAACTTCTTGTCAAGTCAACAACTGATACTCAAATTGTTGATGTCACCCGGCTAGGCAAGTCTCGCTGTGTGAAGATTGCGTTTAAGAGACCATCACTCCCCTCTCATGTGAAGGTGGGGTACTTCAGACATGCTGTGCGGCCTTTCATTCCAAAGCCTCTCCAGTGCCGTAAATGCATGAAACTTGGACATGTGAGCAGCGTCTGCGAGAATTCGGTGGTATGCCACCACTGCGCCGAGCACCATGAAGCGGATAAGTGCGTCGCAACTGTCAAGAAATGCTCTAATTGCAATGGATCCCATGAAGCCACATCGAAGGACTGCCCGCGAATTCAGAAGGAAATTGCCATCTTGAAGGAGATGGTGCGCGATCACTCATCTCATCGAGAAGCCGCAGCTAAAGTCAGAAGGCGTCGTTCACGTCGACGTCGGTCTCCTAGGACGCCCGCTACCTCCTCGACACGATTGCGTGATCCCTCATCAGATCCACCTCCTTTGCCTCCCAGACCACATGCCGCGGGAAAGGCTGTAAAGGACAAAGCCAGTGAGCATACCCTGACTGCGACAGAGTGGCCTGCACTTCAAAGGGAAGCAGCATCAAGCGAACCGAAGGAGCTTCATGACGGCCAGTCCGCGCTCCCGGTTCGAGATCTTTCCAACCAAGACAGGCAAGTGACTGCAATCGTCCCGGTTCGAGATCTTTCCAACCAAGACAGGCAAGTGGCTGCAATCGTGCAATCATTAATTGCCACGATTCGCACGCTACTGAGCAGCATACAATCTCCGTCTGCTAAGAGTGCACTGCAAATACTGGATGCACTGAATCCAGTTCTTGCTAACTTCGTACAAGCACAATGGCTCAACAAAATCTCCACTTCCGCACTGAAGTTAAAAGTGCGTCAATTTTTCAGTGGAATGCCAGAGGCATGAAGTCCCGTATCTCGGACGTGCGCCAATTTGTTCGGGCCAATCAATTCCCTATACTTGTCATATGTGAACCAAACGTGTCAACGCCTTATAGACTGTCCGCTTATGAAGCTTTTTGTTCAGCCGCTTGCGAAGAACGAAGCAAAGTAATTGTTTACATTCGCACAGACTTGACTTATCTTTCGCACCCAATAAGTTCAAATGACGACAATCAGTACGTGTGTCTTCGTGTGAAGAAGAATGCAGTTTCGTTCACGCTTATTGGTGGATATATATCTCCGTCATCGCGATTTGACTGCGAAAGATTAAAAGACATCCTAATGAGAACCGATGGGCCTTGGATCATAACCGGTGACTTCAACGCCCATCACATGCTTTGGGGGAGCACTAGGATGAATGCCAGGGGCCAGAACATTGTTACATTCGCTTCCGATTACGACCTTTCCATCATGAACGATGGTACCCCCACATATCTGCGGGGTCTCACGTATGGCAGTTGCCTTGACCTGACATTGGTGTCACGGTGCTTCTCTCACAAAGTTAAGTGGTTTTGCGATATTGAGACTCATGGGAGTGATCACATACCCACCTACGTGACGATCGATGGTATCGTAAAAAAATTGTCTTCCGGTGTTGCAATTGGCACTGACTGGTCGATGTTTGCATCGCGTGTTGAGAACGCTTGCCAAGAAGGCCTCGCCTGCAGCCTGCAAAATACCATAGTGGAAGCTATGCAAGCGTCCAAATGTAAATTACCATTTTCGTCTAAAGTTACACAGTTTGACATCGAACTGGAAAAATTACGAGCTATACGAAGGCGCGCAGAACGACGATACAGACGCACAAGATCAATTTACGATCTGAGGGAAGCCAGGCGGCTCCAAAAAAAGATTCAACGACGCATTTACAAACTGGAGAGCGAACGCTCGAAAGCATTCTGCGAATCTCTAGACCCTCATAAACCGCTGTCATATATCTGGAGAACAGTTCATGGTCTTCGCTCCTCTTCACAACAACGGCACCCTTTTAAAGCTTTGGCACTCCATCAGGGAAAAACAGAACTCGAGGTGGCTGAAGAATTTTGCACGAGAGTTGCCGGGAATATTGTGAACGAGAGCATCGACGCCGTGATCGTTCCTGAGACGCGATTACCAGAAATGGACATTCCGTTCACCATGGAAGAACTGGAAGGTGCGTTAGTCGCTTCTAAGCGCATGTCATCGCCAGGTCCTGATGTTATTACTTATAGTGCGTTGGGACACCTTGGACAAAAAGCTAGAAAAGAACTTTTAACATGCTTCAACAACTCCTGGCTCAGCGGCAGTGTTCCCCGAGAATGGAAAATTAGTCGATTAATACCACTTTTGAAATCGGGAAAATCACCATTGGACTTGACAGCGTATCGCCCTATTGCCCTCGCAAGCTGCCTCGGAAAAGTGATGGAAAGGATGGTTCTATTTCGTCTCGAGTGGTACTTGGAACGATACACCAAATACCCTTCTTGCATGGCAGGCTTTCGTCGGGGCCGCTCCTCCATTGACTGTGTCCTTGATTTGTCGACATTTGTTCAACAAGAAAAAAGTCGCAAGCGCATATCAGTGGCACTCTTTCTTGACGTGAAGGGTGCATATGATAATGTAGCTCACGATGCCATCCTCACTTCTCTCGCAGCAATGGGCATTGGTGATCGAATGGTTCAATGGATAAAAGATTATATAACTGGCAGAGGTTTCTTTGCACAAACATATGAGGGTACAACTGCCCAACATTACACCTACTGCGGAGTACCTCAGGGAGGTGTTTTAAGCCCCACATTGTTCAATGTGGCCCTCATTGGTCTGGTGAAGGTTCTGCCACAGTCGGTGTGCCTATCCATATACGCCAATGATATTTGCCTCTGGAGTGCTGCAGTTACTCGCCCTCAGGTGCGTGCACGAATACAGCGGGCAGCAACCCTCACAACAGCCTACCTTCAGAAACAAGGCCTAAATATATCAACTGTGAAGTGCGCGTTGATGGCGTTTACACGCAAACCAATGACGCCATACCCTGTTTACATCAATGGGCAGAGTGTCAAATATGCACGGACGCATCGTTTCCTCGGCATAATAATCGACAGAAGTCTTTCGTGGAGCCCACATTGTGCGTACTTGAAGAAGAGACTGCTATCTATTGTGCATATCATGAAATTCTTGTGCGGTAAAGCACGGGGAACTTCTGTGGCCTCCATGCTACAGCTGTACAGGGCCCTATTTCTGGGTCTATTGCGCTACAGCTTGCCGGTACTGACTAACACTTGCAAATCCAATACTCATTCATTGGAGAGTTTGCAGGGTCAGGCACTGCGTATCTGCCTAGGACTGCCCCGATGCGCTTCTACTTATGCCACAATCATGCTTGCCAAAGACCATCCGGTCAGGACATATATAGCTGTGGATTACCTCAGAGCGCACATTCGACATGCTAGCCGTGTCCCCGACCACCACTTGGCCCTTCTACCTTCCGGAAGACCACGTGCTACGTTTTCAGACGTCATAGCCAAGCACCTAAAC